CTTTATATTCAATTCAGGACCCCAAACTGTAGACTGGTACTGCCCACATTTAGGGCCGGCTAGCACACAGAACAGGTAGACTTAAAAACCACAACATTGGCTGTTCCTTTAGCTTTGAGGTGAGTTAAGAATGTGGGCTTCCTCTCCAGGCTTTCTCTGGCCATGTGCATTTATTTCTGCAGCTTCATAAGGCTCAGACTGACACTTGACACTTTGGGAACACACCCTTCATCTTTGACGGAAGTTTCCCAGCCTGTGAAAAGTCACAGAGTGTTGAAAACAGAAAAGGGAACTTGAACCCATCCCAGCTTTGTAGGGTCTGGATAGAGTCATCTGCCCTGTCTGTTCCTGCTGCAGCACTAAAATTTGACATCTCTGATTCTTTTCAAGCAAGAGTTGCTGCAGTCCTCTGCACAGCTTCTCCATGCAGCTGTTACAAATCTCACATTAAAACCTTGCCCAGTGCCCACCGACCTTCAGCATATCACCTTCTCATCAAGGCTGAATGTCACTCAACTCTTGACTCTGTCACTGTATGTTTGGACCATGTGGCATTCAACATTCTTGTTCTCAGTTCTCTTCCGTACTTATATCTCTGCCCTCATCTCTCATTTCCATTGACTCATTTACCTTCCTTCACTCTTGTAGTGAATTCAGTAGGCACGAGAACAGGTTTAGAATTTCCCTCTAGCATGACTTCCATCTTGTCCTTGCTTTTTAATCTCAGAGTGACATTCCTAAAATAAAGGGGAAAATCACATTCCTATGGCTGGGTGAACTGGCACATATCCTGGATCTCAAAACTCAGAAGACAGAGGCAGGTGGATCGCTGTGATTGGAGTGTTACTCCTGGATAAGGTGATGTACTCTAAGATACCGGGACAACTCTCAGCCATTATCAGAAATCTGGGGGAAATTCTCAGCCATTATCAGGAATATAAAGAAGTCCTGGTGCAATATTTTATTTTTTCATCTATTTGTTTTGTAATCTGGAACTCTTAAACCTCCTGCTTCAGACTCCCATGTGTTAGGACTACAAGCATGCATTACCACACTGAACTGCAGGGTTGCAGTAGTTCTTAGCTGAATTTTGAAGTGGTCCAGTTGCTGGTTCCATGCTGAACTTGAGCAAACCCATTGTTCCCAGATATTCCTGATGTGTAAATCCATGTTCCAGAGACATTAGTATACATCTTGTTATAGTGAAGAGTATTTCTTTTAAATGCAGCTTATCGGGAGGTCCGGGGTAGTGCCTAGGATTCTGCATTTCTGAAATTGTATTTATTTATTTTATTTTGTATATGTGTGAGCATGCACCAACATTAATGTGCCACACAGCATGGAGGTCAGAGGACAACTCTCTGGAGTCAGTTCTCTCCTGCCACCTTGTGGGATTCAGGGATTGAAGTCAGGTTGCTAGGTGGGCCTAAGCAAATGCCTCAACCATTTGAGCCATGCCCTCTAGCCCTGAGGTTAGGCCCACACTGCTGGCTTAAGGATTTACTCTTGGGTAGCAAGAACCCATAGAAACATGTTCCCTTTCTTACTCCCTCAGCAGAAGGGATACAAAAAAATACTGTCATGTTGACATGATCTCTAGAGACTATGCTGTTTACCTCATTAGCCCCTAGTACAGCAAAGATCTGGAATCCCCTGCAGACCTAAATGAAAAATAGTAATTTCTGAGTTCTGGCATTGAAGATTTAAAATAGTGCATATAGGATAGGGCCTCAGAAGTTGTGTTTTAGCAATGCACCCCTGACAATCTTGCTGATTAAATTTTTTGTTAATTATGTGTATGTGTATATCTGTGTGTATGTGTGTGTGTGTGTGGGTACACCCATGCTGGTGTAGGTACTTACAGAGGCTAAATGCATGGGGTCCCCTTAGAGCTGGATTTGTGAGATGTGGATGCTGGGAACTGAAATCAGGTCCTCGGCAAGAGTGGTATATACTCTGAACTACTGAGCCATCTTTTCTGGCCCACTTTTTTTTAAAAGACTTGTATCTTATAAGCTAATGCCCAACCTAAAATCTTAAATGAAAAGTCTTCCCCAGCAGATCCAGTATCCTTTATTTTATTTTGCACTTCCCCCCTTTCTGTTCTGGACATACTCACACTG